GGTAGGTTTGCCAGGAGAAAACGTAGTAGTACTACCAAGGCTAAGATTCCAAAGAGGTTATAGATTTTGGATTCTATTAGCTTTGCTAATGTCCATCCTCTTAGCCATAAGAATATTCGGAATACTGATTTTTTCCAGGCACTCTATGCTATTCAATTTGAGCATTGGTATTCGTTTCCTAGGATGATTTTCTGTCAGCTACTGGAGTTTTGGTTAGAGATTGGACCACATAAGAATGTTCCTACCCATAAGTTATCTTTTCCATATATGATTACCAGGCTGTTAAAGCTACAGAGTTTTGTGGTAGATAAGAAAGATGAGTCTTGTGAGGAATCTCCTATGTTTGAAATGAAGTAATGGAATAAGGTTTGGACACATATGCCGGCGAGTTACTGCAATGCAGTGGAGTTTAGAGATAAGGGTTATATAACAGATATTCCTAGGGTAGCGGATGAGGATGACAAAGAGGGCATAGAGGATGAGATGGATACCTCTGATGGCCAGGTACCACCTAGGGGGAGGCCAGTTCCTACAGCCCAGCCTGAGAGTTCTTCTCAGGCTGAGATTAGAGAGTTATAGGCCAGGGTGGCAGAGCTGCAGGATGGACAGACAGTGATGAGACAAATGCTAACTGCACAATAGAGCATTCTTGAGGAGCTATTACGCTGCACTCCATCTGTTGCTTCTACTTCTACCAATTTTCCTCCACCTCATATGGATTAGCTGTCTAGGGCTTCTTTGTATTTTCTTTTGCAAGATAGGCACTTTTGTTGACTAGGGCAATATTTTTTTATGTATGTCATTCTTTATGCTGTATTTCTGCCCTAAGTCTTTTATTAAAAAGCATTGTACTGATTCTTCTTATTTATATATATGTTTTTTGCCTATCTTATACTTGTGTTGCTATGTGAGCTCCATGTGATATTTCTCTGGTCTTACTCCATATACTTGATACTCTGATGTGTGTTGGAGTTTGTTGATTTTGCCAGGTACTACAGACTAAGTTTAGGGGTGATTTCTTTATTTTACCCTTCTATGCTTCAAGTTGGTGTATCGTTGTTGTTCTGGTTGTATGGTACTATCTTTCTAACTCTCTTTTGTTTTCACACATTGAGGACAATATGCACACTAAGTTTGGGGGTAAGGGAAATTCAAAAAAAATTTGCTGGAATAACACATGGTTCTGAAATTTGATGTTATAAGCATGATTTTGAGTTTGTTGATTGTTATGTATTCTTTCTACAGTCTGATGTTAGTTAAAAATGATTGGTATGCTAAAATAATATTAAAAAGGAATTCTTGAAATTTTTTGAAATCAGTTGGTGGTCTGTGGTTTACTTTGTTAGGATGATTATTGTTTGATGATATTGATCTATGAAATACTCCATTTTGCATATATTCACACTTGCATGAATTCTGTGGGGTATAAACTAGAAGTCTTGTTTGTTTTGAGTTAAATTGAGATGAGTAGGTAAATTTGATGATTTTGATAACCAAGGCATTAAAAAAAAAAAGAATAAAAGAAAGGAAAGAAAAGGTATGTATGCAATGCAATAAATGAAAAAAAAAATATTCTTCACCAATTTGAATGAAAAAAAAAGAAGAAGAGAAAAGTGAAGAAAAGAAGTAGAAAAAAGTCAAGTTCAGGTCTGTACCTAGATTACTTGAACAATTAATTCATTAGGGGTGTGTTCTGACACCTAATGCCCTAAGACCATCTAGTTTGGGAGTCATTGGCTAAAAGCTTGTTACATAATGGGTTTAGGTTGCCTAAATTACTTGAACAATTAGGTCTGGAGGGGTGCTTTATCACTTAATGCCCTAAAACCGTCTGGTTTGGGAGTCATTGGCCGAAAGTTCGTTACATGGGTGATTTAGAAAGCTTAATAGACCTGAACATTACGCAGTATCCTTTTTAAAAAATGCATACAAGTAGAAGAAATAATGCCTTAGGAGTTGGAATTTGAAAAGTTTGTCTATAAGTTGAGGGATAGAAAGGAATAAATGCGAGTATAGATAGTAAACCACATGTTTGACTGTAACTATTAAAGAATTTTAGAGATTGAGATCGTTGAATAAATGATTAAACTGACATATGGGGACCACGGCTACTAAATTGAAATTGGAAATTGAAAGTTTTTCTTATTAATATAATTGGCTATACTTGCTATATTTGATTGATTGATGAACTGTAGGGATATCATGATTTAAAAACACGCTTGAATGAGCTTATTATGCAATTAAGGCACTATTTGAGATGTTTGTGGGTATCATCACTAGAAACCCTCACGAGACTATAACTCGTCCGTTAGGGATAACCTAGGGGTTTAAAGGCTTGTTGTATAAGTTAAATACAACCGTGATTCCCACAAAAACGGCTCTTTAGTTCTGTATTGCTAAGGGACTAGCAATATGTAAGTTTGGGGGTGTGATGAGCACTGAATATTGCATATTCGAGCTCCTAAATATACGTATGTTAAAGCTTAAAGTGAAACTTCTATCCATTGTTAGACTGATTTATACTTATTGTGTGTTTATAGGTACATTCCCAGAGAAATGGTTAAAACCGGGACTTTATAATGAAAAAACTAATATTGAAGCTTATAGAGTTGTTGCCGGTCATTTAAAGCAAGCTGAGAGCTTAAATGGTGAAGTTTAGAAGAATTCAAGTACCAAAGCTCGAGCCTGAGTCCTGAGGCTCGAGCCCTGCAAGAGAAAGAATAAAATCAACAAGGCATTAAAGCTCGAGCCTTGTACCTTCAGAGCTCGAGCCCTACTCAGTGGTGCTCGACCCTTACCTCAGGGTGCTCGAGCCTTGACCCTCAAGCTCGAGCATGAGGCGTCGGAATTTGAAAAGTTGATTTTAAAGGAAAACTAAGCTTCCAGGGCCTCGTGCCAGACCTCAAGGATCGAGCACCATCGTTCAAAGCATGAGTCTTGACTACCAAAAGCTCGAGCTTGGTACCAAAAGCTTGAGCCCTATGAAGCTTGGATCGAGCAATGTTAAAAGAAGAGAACCCCAAAATATTCTAAGTGTTGAAGGAAAAGACGCTTTGAAAAATAGTTGAAGAAATTTGACTAAGTAAAAAAGTGAAGATCGAACACCATTCATTAAAGGTTGAGCAATAATTCCCGAAAGCTCGAACTTTGTTCCTAAAGCTTAAGCCTGAGCCCCATAGCTCGAGCCCAATTCTTAAGCTCGAGCCTTCCAAGACAGATCAGATTTAAAGTTACGGGATTATTCTTTTCTAAGTCGTATTTCACTCCAGATGGGCCAGAAGACCTAAAAGCCCACAAAACCTTTATTTTCTTCTATAAAAGAAGGCACAGGCCATGATAGAAGGAGTTCCTTTTTCTCGTGTTATTCAGAAGGTTGATATTGCGGTGGCGGCTTTTAGGGTTTCTATAACCTTAGAAGGTAAAGATCTTGAGAAGAGAAGTGCTGTCCGTGACAATGAAGACGACAATGACAGTGCCCAGGTACCCAAATCCTGGCGTCGCGCCCAGGTACCCAAAACCCTGGAGTCGCGCCCAGGTACCCAAAACCTTAGCATTGAGCCCAGGTCTCAAAAACCCTGGTATCGCGCCTAGGTATCCAAAACCTTTAGCATCCCTCCAGGTCATCAAACTCTGGCATCGCGCCCAGGTACCTAAAACCCTGGCATCGCACCTGGGTATCCAAAACCCTGGCATCCCACCTAGGTTATCAAACCCTAACATCACGCCCAAGTACCCCAACCCTGGCATCGCACCCAGATACCCAAATCCTGGCATCCCACCCAGGTCATCAAACCCTGGCATCACGCCCAAGTCATTAAACCCTGCATTACACATCACATCCCAGGCACTTAAACCTTGAAGGCCTCACCTTCAAGCCAACAAACCCTGGCATCACGTCCAGGTCATCAAACCCTGCATTGCGCATTGCATCCAGGTCAATAAACCTTGAAAGCCTTACCTTCGAGTGAGCAAGCCGTGGCATCGCGCCCAGGTTATCTAACCCTGGCATCACGCCTAGGTCATCAAACCCTACATTGCGCATCGTGTCCAGGTCGCTAAAGCTTAAAGGCCTCACCTTCGAGTCACCAAACCCTGGTATCACGATGGGTCATCAAGCCCTGGTATCGCACCAGTTCACCAAAACTCGATATCATACCAAGTTAAGTAAAACCTTGCGTAACCACCACTTTTGGGTTATTTATGCCCGGCTAACCTTCTACGAATTCTACAAAGCTCACTCGTGCAGGGGGACTAAATGTAGGTGTTGAATATATCTCACTTCACATGGCCTACATTTATTGGTTAAACGGTCAACAGACTATGCCACATCATTAACAATAGCCCACAAAGCTTAGTCAAATGGTCAACAAGCGACGCCACATCAGAAACGATGGCCCACAAGTCAAACGGTCAAATGGTTTCAGTTACGTGACACTTACCACGTCAAGATACCTCAAACAGAAGATCGAAGACTTGAAGACCTGAATTAGGAGCAAGACTCAGGATTACTTGGGATTCGAGGAGGTTCTTGGTTTGGTGGATGAAGTTCAGGGCTTGTCGAGTCGACCATCGACTTGACTCGCAGAGAGAGATATACCATTTTGACTCCCATACAATTTAGACTCATCTTATTTAACATTTATAATGTTAATGGGTCCACATGTGATGTCATATGACGACGTCATCTAATCTCTCATTTGGCCTATATAGGAGGTTCTCCAAGGCTAAGTGGAAGGAGAGCAAAAAAGAGAGGAAATTGCCTCCTAGAGATAAAGAGCTCTCATGCTCTCTCATATTGAGGCTTTCTCCATATTTTCCACACCCTCACCAAGGGAGTCAATGGTATACTATTACACTGCCATCTTCACCATCTCTCTCTAGTTTGCCTATTCTTCCACCTCTCTCAGTTTACCTTGGATTCTATTATGTTGTCTGGATCACTCAGATTTGTGTATGATATCACCATTTATATGTATTTTATTATGTTATAAAAACGAACCCCTACAATGGTCAAAAACCGTAGACAAATAAATCAAACCTCTCTTTAGAAGAAGCTTGAATATTATTGACATGATCTTTGCATGCTTAATTAAAAATCTGGTAATTATGATAATTCCCCAGCTCGTGTGAAAAGGTTGTACCAAAAGTCCTTGCCATCATGAACGCTTGAATTGTAGCCGTACACATATTCCATGGCATGAAAAGGTGACAAAGGAAATTGAAGTTGTTCCTCTGCTGTGACTGCAGGAAAATCGCTGGTGCTGCCGGAATTTTCATCAGAGAGCACCTCCGACCAGAAATTTTCATCAACTTCAGGGAAATCGTCTAGGACTTCTGCATCAGCCTCCATGCACACGTTACCGTTGTTGCTGTTATTGGTGATGACGTTGGAGATTTCGCTAAGCCAATGTTGAGGGGAATCCGGTTGGAGATCCAATGTATCCTGATTCGGATGATTCATTAAGGGTTTTGCTTCATTGATGGAGTGTAGTTTGGACTTGGAAGAGGAGTCAATTTTGTGGAGTCTCTTTTTCAAGTTGGTGTGCCACACATTTTTTATTTCATTGTCTGTACGTCCTGGCAGTCTTGCTGCAATGGCTGACCATCTGATCGAAAGATTAAGCAAAAGGAAAAAAAATAGTTGCATTAGCCATTAGCTCAAGTGTTAATTTTGTTTTGCGGTATTTTAAAAATGATGTAGAACTCGGTTCTATTGTTTGAATTGGCACATGCATGTTAATTCTCCATATTTGCATTTACCTGTTTCCTAATTTTCCATGCAAATTGATAATGGCGTCCTCTTCTTCTTTGCTGAAGTTTCCCCGTTTAATGTCCGGTCGCAAGTAATTCGTCCACCGGAGTCTACAACTCTTTCCACACCTTAATAAACCTGAGCAAAGATAGGAAGAAAAAAAAATCCATATCACACACACACACACACACACACACACACACTAGAAAAAACAATAGTCATAGCACCTGATCAAAAGTTATTTTATAATTTTAATTAAAAATTATAGAGAATTATCAAAATAAGTTTTATTTTTAAATAATTAATTAGCAACTTTTTTTTTTTTTTTTTTTTGTTTCCTCTTAGTTCAAGCATACCTCCACTGAAGTTTGAACCCCTGACCTTCCTTTGGAAAGTAGGGGCCTGGTACTGGTACCGCTAGGCCACATGCTGGTTGGTAATTAGCAACTTGTTTGAGTAATTATAATTTTAAATATTAATGAAATCAAATGTATTTTTTTTTTTTTTTTTTTTTTTTTTGCATATTCATGAATCATGAACAAATAGTATAATAAGAGTAAAAATTAAAATTTAAGGAGTTACAAAATTTTACTTAAATGATTATTAATTATGATATAAATACTAATTTTAGATAAATATTAAAATTCATAATTTTAAACAATTAGTAATAATTATAAATCATAATAAGTCAACAACATAAAATATTAAAAGATAAAAAATAGAACTTATTAAGTAACTAGGCTCTGTTTGTTTCGATGTAAAATATTCATTTTGGAAAATATTTTTCTTTTTTAGGAAAAATATTGAGATTGAGATCAATTCCATTGGGCTGGACATATAAAAAAACTTGCCGAAAATTTATGGATAAATTATTATTGTTAAATTTTAATATATATATTTTTTTCTTCGTAAATATTTTACGACAACTAAACACCAGAAAATAAAAAAATATTTTCCGAAAAATATTTTACTTCCAAACTAACGGAGCTTAAGTGTATAAAATAGTTCTAACTACTCTTTTGACTTTGGGTGTAAAGTTTTAATAGATTTTTTATTTTTTTGCTTAGACAAGGTAGCTTTATGTCACGAAGTGATTCCTAAGACACTTGGAGGATGGAAGACATGCATGCTAGTTGGCAAAGAGCAGAGTTTGACTGGGAATGGTTCAAGGGAAGAGGCGTGTAAGAGTACATGATGGTACCTCTTCAGAGTCAGGCAACTCGACTTAGTTGAGTGTGAGGAGCTTGTCGCTAGTCATGGACTTGACTATGAAGAAGGGAGTTGGTCATTCTTGCACAAACTGGTCGGGAGCTGGAGCCGTTCCCCAGATGAGACCAAGGCAGGTCGAAACCAGTCAGCATGTATCTTTGGGAGGGCAGGTTATGGTGGCTGACCAGGGCACTTGCGCGAGCTGAAACAATGCCTTGGTGCCACACGGGCCATGCAGTTGCGCGGCTGCGCCAAATCTCTAGGCCTGTGACAAATGGTATCAGAGCAGGACTTGGGGTAAAGCACGGTGGGGTGCCCACTTGTCGGTCCGGGAGGGGTCAGAGAATGAAGAAGGTGCACTAAAGCTGCGTCGATGAGGAGGAATCAATGCAGTTGGGGGGGAGAGCCTCCATCTCCCCAGGAAGAGGTGTTTGTTGAAGTTGCGCACTAGAGGGCCGGAGGGCCGCGCGCACCAAAGTTCATGCTTAGTCCTTAGGTCTGCAGGAGGCCCTTGCTTGCTCGGGATGTCACGGAGGCGACATGACGGAGAAGAGTCACGTCCTTGAGAAGTGGACGTCCCCTTGGTCCGACGCCTATGATTGGGCGAGTGCAGTGCAGGGAGCTGCACAAGGAAACGATGGTGGGAAGGCGAGCATATCACTTGGAGGCAGACTTTGGAAGGGAGTGGACGCAGTAGTGAAGCGCTGCAGGATTTGGGTGGGGGAGAGTGTCACGAACTGATTCCTAAGACATTTGAAGGATGGAAGACACACATGCTGGTTGGCAAAGAGCAGAGTTTAACTAGGAATGGTTCCAGGGAAGGGGCGTGCAGGAGCACATGATGGTACCTCTTCAGAGTTCAGGCAGGTCAACTCGGTTGAGTGCGAGAAGCTTGTCGTTGGTCATGGGCTTGACTATGAAGAAGGGAGTTGGCCATCCCTGCACAAACTGGTCGGGAGCTGGAGCCGTTCCCTTGATGAGACAAAGGCAGGTCGAAACCAGTTAGTATGTATCCTTGGGAAGGCAGGTCGTGGTGGCTGACCAGGGCGCTTGCGCGAGCTGAAGCAACGCCTTGGTGCTGCACGGGTCGTGCCGCTGCGCCAAATCTCTAGGCCCGTGACATTTAACTAACTTTTTTATCACAATATAAGTTTAACAATGAAGTGATATTAGTGGTGATAATTTAAACCAACTATTTAATAAATATTGAATCGAATAGCTAAAAAAATGAAGTATGAGACAAATATTTTGAAAAAATCACGAATATAATTGAATTTGTGACTTTGTGTACTTTGATTCTTACCTATAAAATGTAATTAGGATAGAATGATTCCTTTCTTTGGTTAAGAGAATTTGATTTCAATTATAATTGTTGATTAAAATTTTTATATATAAATTATAAATACATCAAATTAAAAAAATAAAAATTCTGACACAAAAAATTTGAAGAATATTGAAAAAAATATATTGATTTTAATGAACTATATTTTATTTAGTGAGAGATTAAACTTGTAATAGCAGAAAATAACATTACTTTTTGGATTAAATTAAGTAAAATCATATAGAAATAAATAAAAATAAATGTTATTAAATTCAATTGTTAAACTTTTTAATAGGAATTAATTATTAAACTTTTTATGTATTTCCTTGTCTAATTAGATAAACTAAATTATTTATTCTCTTTATAAATTCGCTTGCCTAAATTGGTTTCCTTTTATTAAAAAAAACTCCTAATAAATAGGTGATTTGAGTTTTATAGAAATTCTTATAAACACCTTATATTAGTTAAAAAATAAAAACTTATAATAAATAAGTAATTTGTGTTAGAATTTTAAAGAGATAAAAACATTAATTATTAATTAAACGTTTTAATAGGAATTCAATTATTAAACTTTTTAATTGGAATTCATTATTAAGCTTTTTATATATTTTGTTGTCTAATTAGGTTTCCTTTTATTAAAATACTTATAATAATTTTTTTTTAATTGTGAAAATTGAATTTTTTTTAACTTTGTCCCTCACTGTATATAATGTTTTAAAACTATATTTTGATACTATATTTATTTCTTATGCTCATTATTTTTGCTTTTTTTTGAAAAGTTAAAAACAAATTTATGGATATATAAAATAAATAAATAATTGTATAAAGGCACTTAACACCATTTTTTTTTATTTTTTTTTAGAAGTAAATATCTATATCACAACATAGCCAAAGTGAAAAATAAAATTTTAAAATTGACTAATTTGTTGTTTAAGTCTCCTAACTCTACTTATTTGTAGTTTTCTAAATAATTTTAATAGGAATTCAATTATTAAACTTTTTAATAGGAATTCATTATTAACTTTTTATATCTCTCCTTGCCTAATTAGATAAACTAAATTATTTAATGTTTTTATATATTTCCTTGTCTAATTAGGTTTCCTTTTATTTAAAAACTCATAATAAATAGGTGATTTGAGTTTTATAGAAACTCTTATAACATCTTATATTAATTAAAAAATAAAAACTCATAATAAATAGGTAATTTGTGTTACAGTTTTATATAAAAACTGATAAAAACCTTTTTTATATTAATTATTAAATATCTTTATATTTAAGAATGCCCCAAAAATAAAAAAATGGAAAAAAATTCAAAATTTTTACATACCAGCAAGACTCAAAACAAAAAATTAAGATTGAACCAAAAAATAATAATAATAAAAATTGAAAAAAAAATTTGACATATATAAAATTTTTAGCAACAAAAAATTCAAAATTTTTACATACCAACAAGACTCAAAACAATAAATTAAGATTGAACCAATAATAATAATAATAATAGAAATTGAAGAAAAAAAGAACATATAAAAAATTTTCAGCAACAAATTCAATTCAAAATTAAGTCCAACCGAAAATAAAAAAAAAACATTGAAACCCAACTCAAAATAATATATTAATAATGAACCCAAAAATAAAAAATAAAAACTGGAGAAAAAAATTACAATCAAAGAAAACTTACAAAGAGTAAAATAAAAATAAAAACTAAAGAAAAAAGAAAGAATGATACTTCTTAAAAATAACAATAATGACTCAAAATAATAATAAATTATAAATGAACCAAAAATAAAAAAATAAAAAAATGAAGAAAAAAAATCACGATCCAAAGTAAACTTACCAAATCAACCACTTATAAACATCAATTAGAAAGAAAAAAAAAATAACGCATCTAAAAAGAAAAAGTAAAGAAAAAAAATTAACAATCCAACCTTCTCAATACAACAAATTAAGAATAACAAATTTTAAATCATCCAAAGTAAACTTACAAAGAGTAAAATAAAAATAAAAACTAAAAAATAAAAAATAAAAAGAAGAATGGTACTTCTGAAAAATAAAAAAGTAAAGAAAAAAAAATAATGACTCAAAATAATAATAATAAATTAATAATGAACCAAAAATTTAAAAAAAAATAAAAAAAAAGAAGAAAAAAAAATTACAATCCAAAGTAAAAATATCAAATAAACCACTTCTAAACATCAATTATAAAGAGAAAATAAAATAAAACAAATGAACTACTTCTAAACATCATTTAGAAAGAGAAAAATAATAATAAAATGAAAGAAAAATAATAATAATAATGCTTATAAAAAGAAAAAGTAAAGAAAAAAAATTAACAATCTAAGTTAAACTTACCAGATCAATAACAACTATTACTACCTTTTCATCACGCGTAATATCACCTATTCAACACCAATTGTAAAGAGAAAAGAAAAAATACGCACACCACAAACCTAATCTAATATATATATATATATATACAAGTTATATGTGATAGAGTTTTATAAAAAATAAAATAAGTAATTTGTGGTAGAGTTTTATAAAAATTATTTTATTTTGTCTAATTAGATTTTCTTTTATTTAAATTTTATTAGGTAATTAATAAATATTTTTTTTTGAAACAAATAGATATATAGGTAATTTGAATTTTATTAGGTAATTTGAAAGTGATGATTAAGCTTGAGTTAAATTTTCTTAGGTTTATAAAAATTCTTTTTATATCAATTAATAAATATTTATATATATATATATACATAAATATTAAAACTCTTTGCACTTTTGAAATGTTGAAATACTGAAATTCTTAACACTTTTAATAATAATATAGATATATAAATATTCATGAAAGATAACAGAAGTTCAATTATGTGAAATTTCAAATACCCAAAACTACAAGTTTGATTATAAGTCCAAAACACATTAGTGAGCACGTAAGTGACAAAGTTTACAAATGCTATTTTTCTTTTGGGTTAAATAAATGAACTAACATACGACCAAATATACAATCAAAGACTTGATTAATTTGTATGTAGAGAGACCAGAATTTTAAATACATTAGAGTTTCACAATAATTACATACCGGCATGTTTAGGAAGTGCCCTCCAATTGGTGTGGCCATATTGGTCAATGTAATTGATCAATATGCGGTCTTCTTCGCGTGTCCATGAACCTTTCTTCAGTCCCATCTTCTCGCAGCATGGAGCTCTTACCATCTTAAATTGATTGATTCTCAGATGGATATATATATATATATGGACTAGTTGTATTAAATCTTCAGTACTCTCCGTGTTGAGAGACTCAGAGCTCAAAATGATGTGAAAGCTATTTATAAAAAGAGACTCCACCTCGGAAACTGTGCTCGCAGCATATATATATATATATATATATATATATGTATGTATGTATCATGTATGTATGTATAGTCTAAGATTAACATTTCAAAGGCATGCACCGCCCTCTCTCTGTATGTGAACAGAAAAGGCACCCACATGGATGTCTACAGTGTTCAAGGATTAATTTTGGGAAAAACTCAAAATCACTACTCTCACTCATAAATACTTTTCTTTGAAGATCCTCGCCAACGTATTGTACGGTGTTGACCGACGATGATTGTTTCATACAAAATTGTGTAAACTCTAATCGCTAGCATTTAGCATAATTACAGTACAGGACATCAAAGATCCAAACTCAATTTTATTTTTTTACCTAAAAAACAAAATGAAAAAGGAAAATGCCTTCCAATAAAAAAAAGGACACATGCACCTTTCGTGACACTACAGTGAGAATTTTGTAAAAAGTACTACTATTATAAACATACAAACAAATACCCGTGAATTATAAAAAATTTGCATGTGCCGATGAATAAAATATAAACCTCTAAATTATTAATAACTTGTAAATAAGGCATTCCTACGGTTGTTACGTGTCAAATTTAAATTCATATGAAAACCTCTAAACTATAAGAAATTTGCATGTTATTTCTGGAGTCTGGAATATGGGGCATTATACAAATTTTTTATACTTCATGGCGGTTTTATAAAATTCAAAAGAATAAATTCCCATTTTTAATGTGTTACAATGCTTTGACAGTCTACTTTCTAACAATAAGTTGAAGAAAGGGACTAGTATTGCAAAATTTTAATACTCACGGTTTATATAGTGTGGTTATTTGCATTTTTGTTTTCCTATAGTTTAAGAGTAATGATATTGTGTTTGATCAAATTGGTCTACTTCTACTTTCTGTCATGTAATTAATCTAAATCATTGATATTTTACTTGCGGTTAAAGATGCCAAAAATAAATATGGAAAGAGTAACGAAATTTTGAAGTTTATTTATTTATTTATTATTATTATTATTTTTTCAAAACTTAAAATATATATTGAAAAAAAAAAAAATGAACTTAACAGGAAGTTGGATAATGAACATGGCGTTACAACTAGGAGAGGGTAGGACTTGAGGAGAAGATCCGTTGGGAGGCCGTACTTTGTAACGAACTTTTGAGGTTTTTTTTTTTTTTTTTTTTTTTTTTTTTTTTTTTTTTTTTAATCAAATCCCCAAAAGATACAATATAAAGAAGTATATTGCAAAAAAAAAAAAAAAAAAAAAAAAACATGAATACATATACTTTCAATCTTATTCTCTTCAAACAAACATATACGTTTATATGTATTTTCCCTTTTGATTTTATGAACCAATAGAGACTTCTCAATACTTTATTTTCCCTTTAATTTTGCAAAGCAAAAAAGAGAGAACCGTGAGTCAGAGAAAGAAATAATCAAGAATAAAGAAAATGAATAGATAAATCACAGAGATAAAGAGGGATGATGAAAACCTCTTCAGTTTCTTTCCATATTTATTTTTATTTTTGGTATCTTTAATGCACAAATAAAATATAAACTATTTAGGTAATTACATGGCAGTTACACTAGGATTCGAATTAGGAGTAGGTCAATTTGATCGGACATAGTAATTACTCATAGTTTAAAGGGTTTTTTTGCTACCTTAGAAAAAAAAAAAAAAAAAAAAAAAAAAAAAAAAAAAAAAAAAAAAAAAGGAAAGCCACAATTTTTGTCAAAAACGAGGTTAAAATAATTTTTTTTTTGGGGAAGTTAAGAGAAAAATATAGAAGTTTAACTTGATGAGGTCAAAGTGTCACCAAATAGTTCAAGTTTAACTTTTCTCCCGTTCAAAATAAAATTTCACGAAATTTTCATAATGGGGTCATGCTTCTTTTCCCATTTTATATAAAAGTACCTAATTGAATGCTTATGATGTTTGTAACCTAAGTCACATAAGGGGAGCACCAAAGTCTAAAAATTTTGAGAGTGTGAGTGTCCATATATTTACTTATATATATTTATTTAGTTAAAAAAATTATAATTATAATTTATTAAATATTTTTTTATGAATTTTTAAATATTAAATAATATATTTTTATAATTATTTTTATTAATGAATTATATTTTGACTCTGATTATTACTCCCTCCTTCCATATTAGTCCTCCACTTTTATTATTAGGATTTTTTAAGGAATTATGAAATTAATGCATTGTTCAAATTTTTTTCCCTTTAAAATTATCAAGTTGTTATTTTAAATTTAAACGTGTTTATTACTCGATTTGAGATTTTTTAAAATTTAAAGGATAATTAGGGAAAGATAGCATTATTCTGCTTTGACTTTTCATACTTAAATTGAAAGATTGACTACTAATATGGAATAAATGGAGTATTAAATAATCAATCAATTATGCATTCAGTATACAAACATGCGTGTGTGCATAGTATAACTTTCTGCATACAATTCATGAATTATAAATCTGAATTCGCGAATTAAAAATTTGAGTTCGTAAATTTAGAACCAATTTGCTCCCAATTAGCAATTTCCGTACAGAGCGCATGAACGACTATCCTTTTAATTAATGAATTATGTGACTTAGCTTTTCATCCTTTTGGAGAGAGATTATTAAAGAGAAAATCAAAGAAAATCGCATTCAACCATACCACTTGTGACTGGAAACTTGGAGAAAAATCAGTTACACTTTAAATTTTTTCTTCAAATAGAGTGGTTATTTAAACTGAAAAAAAGTGAAAAATCTATATCTGTGTTTTTGTATATTGACTAATATTTTGACTAAATGTTGCATGATTATAATATATATTATAATATACTGGATTGAATGATGTGTAAAAACAACAAATCAAGCGGACAGCAATAAAACTACAACAATTGAAGACTTTTTCGATAATAAAACCACGTACAAAGAAAAAACAGTGATTGATTTCCACCTACCTAAATAAGAGGATGCAATTACTTCCAAAGAAAACGAGTCAATGACAAGTGTGATGTTTATTCTTTGGGAGTGGTAGAAATTTTGTCATGAGAAAAGTTTAATCCTTTACGAATGCCTATATGTGGTGTGTCTCATATCTAGTTGCACAAAAATGGTGAAATAATATGCGACTAAATTTGAATATATAGAATGCCATTATTACTATTAATTATTAATATAGTTAGAGTAAGTAAGAATCGTCTTACGTCTTAAGGGAAAGGAAACGTATTTTTGCTTGAAAATCAATGTTGGATTAGTAGGTCGAGTGATTAAAAGATGATTGGTGGTTGGATTATTCTACCATTTAAGCTAAATAAATGCAATGTAAATTAACTAAAACAAATATGAGGTATAGAGAATATGACAGAGGAGTCTTGGGTTATAGAGTTTACCACTAAGTATTACTTTTCTAGACATTCAATATTTGATGGATTAAGGGGATTATGTGTTGTAAATGAAAGTGTGTGCTATTAATTGAATATCAAGTATGGATGGCCAAGTAAGCATACATTGTCTAGTCAATCTAATGAGTAGCACAACATATCAAATTAAGTCATTAATCCTTCCATAAGTCCATAATTAATGCACACTTATCAAATTAGAGAAATATACTACTGCATTCATAAGCATGGAATATTAAATAACAAGCATGGATTGTCCACCTATCTAAGAAAGTAAGGTAATTACACTACAACTAAGCTAATGACATGAAAATTAAACTAATTAAACTAAGGAGGTGGAATAATCTATCAAGAAATAAGTATGAACCATCAAATAAATCACAAGAGTAATCTATTTAAGCACTATGCCTTGACTACTACTAGATTCATAATATCAACACACATAGACATGCATCAATGCCACAAAATGTAGAGATACACACATGAACATTTATTTTAGCATACATAAACATATGGATAGAACTAAATGATCAATTGGAAGTATTAAATCACACAAATCATTATAGAAACAAGATATATATACATATATATATATATATAAAAGATGTCAAGACAATAATTACAACACAAATCCCTATTAATTACAAAACATCAAAGTCTATGAGGCATGCTTAGGGCTATCTCTAGCCCCAAGAAAATGGTTTAGTCACTCATTGATATTATCATCTAACCCTCAAAGGCTATCTCTATGGTAGAAATCATCCTCTTCCTTTTGAGTTTTTGGTAAAAACCCTAGATGAGTGGAAGAATTTTCCCCAAATGGTGTATTTCTCTCTCTAATCTCTAGCCTCCTCCAAAACTAATCAACCTCTCTCTCTCTCTCTTTTACTCAAAATAGCCAAAACCCTTATATAGGTAGCTCAAATGTCAGACCCAATGGTCAGACCTCATGCACTAAGACTCTCAAATGATTACACCACGAGCATACCTTTAAGTTGGTTGAGATATTTTTGGGAAAATGACAAAAGTGGTAGGTGCCCCATAAGATCAAAAGTGTTCGATCGATCGAAGAAAAGGTTGAATCGATCGAAAGGGAAAATTTCCTGAAGATAAGGACAAAAGGCTCGATCCATCATGACATGGTTAGGACGATTACAGTGTAATAGATCGGATTCTGGTTTGATCAATCGAATAAGGCTTCTTCACCAATTTTGCTTCCGCTTTGCTCCTTTCTTCCACTAAGCTCAAGACTGCTTCTTCAAATGCTCTAATTCAGCTGAATTGACTTATTTTGGAGATAAGTACCTGAAAAGGGAAATAACATGAAATTAGACTAAAATGGGAAAATAAGATAGAATAAGGTCCTAGAACATTCAAGCTTAAGGGGTTTAAATGCGTACTTTTCAGCGCTTATCACACTCCCAAACTTAAATATTGCTAATCCCTAGCAATGAACTACAAAGAAAATAAAGAAATTAACAACTATACAACTATGAACTAGAAAGTAATAAATGAATAACGCCACTTTCGTAAGGAACACGATTGCATTTAGTGCATGCAACAAGCCTTTTAAACCCCTAGGTTACCCTTAGTGGATAAGTGAAGTCTCGCGAGGGTTTCCAGAAATGATACCCATAAACATTAAGCTCTTTCTCACTAAAGAGGCATCAATATTCCAAACAAGTATTGGGAGAAAACTACCTCAAGTATGCAATTTTTCAACCATTTCCAAGCAATCTCCCAAAATCTCAATAGTAAACAAATATATATGGTCCTCCACACATCAAGACAATGATCATGTAAATCAAAACAACTCTAGAATCCTTTTTAAGTGAACCGGTATCAAATATGTTACTATCTAAGCTAACTAAAAAAATGATCACATCCGGTCTCAAGCTAGCACACAAATCTAGTACCGATCATCAAGACAAAGAATGGATCTTTTATTAAAGCTTTATTCAACTAGGTGCGCTTATTCTTCTTACATGATTTTTTTTTTTTTTTTTTCCCTCTAATCCTAAGGATCAAAGATGGAATCATAGTGCAATGTGTTGATCTATTAAGCTTTCTAGCGATCCATGAGGTCGAATGTTAAGTCAATGACTCCCAAATTGGACGGCTTTAGGGCATTAGGTGTTTAAACATCCCTAAGAATTTACAAGCTTAAATCAACTAGGCTACAAATTAAAACAATCTCCATCTAATCATTTCCCACTTCTCACCTTTTGGGAGAAGTGTTTTTTTTTTTTTGTTTTTTAATTTTTATTTATAGTTATTAACCTAGAGTTTGGGCTCTCCACCTTTCAGTACGAGAAATTCAGTGCTTGATGAGGCTAGAATCCTGGCTACTTAGTTAAAGGGGTTGTTATCTACCCTTATCAAGAATGAAAGTTTTCAATGCATTACTAGCTCAATTGGGATATAACCAAATCAATAATCAACAAAGCATGTGCCCCACAAATGAATGCTAGTGTGCGTCTGTGCTAGTGTAGAATCTTAGAGTGAATCTCAAAATAATCACAAAATCAGGATGATGTGGACCACAAAAGCAAGCATGATATCAATCTTTTGAAAAATTTACTCCTAAATGGCATCCACAAAGCATATGATGAGCACTGAAAAGTGCGTATTTAAACCCCTTAAGCTTAGGCATTCTAGTACTTTTATCTATCTTACTTTACCGTTTTAGATTGATTTCGTATTATTTTTTTTTTCAGGCACTTATCCCGAAAATAAGCTAACTTAGCAAAATAAGAGCTTAATTGAAGCAATTATGGGATTAATCAAAGAAAGGAGCAAAGTGAAAAAAGAAGGAGGCAAATGAAGCCAAAGGTGGCAAGCAGCAAAGTTCGATCGATCCAAGTTCAAGGTTCGATCGATCGAACAATGATCGATCTCAGCATTTCAAGATAGATCCAAGCCTTGACCCAAAAGCATAAAGTCCAAAAGTTCGATCGATCCAACACCATCCTTCGATCGATCGAACACTTTTGTCCTTATTCAAAAGATTCATCCTATCAACAGCTGTACCACCTACTAACCACTTTTGTCCTTTTCCCATAAATATCTCCCATAAATATCTCGGATTTATCTTTTTCCAAAAAGCTCAGCCAGTTGGATCGATCCAGCCTAAGTTCGATCGATCTCACTTACCTTCAATCGATCCAAGTTCAAGGTTCGATCGATCGAACTTCCTCTAGTGCGAAAAAGTTAAAATTCCATCTCATTGAAAGTTGTCTTTTATCCAATCATTAGGGAATATTGTGTGCACGACCCCAGCTCATTTTGGGTGTCATTTTAACCTACCTATATAAGGATAAGGATTGCTTTTTCAAGGGGGAGCCAATTTAATTTTGCATATCATCTTTTGGAGAAGAAGTTTAGAGGAAGAGAAGGCTAGAGACACCATTGGAGACTCTTCATCAACAAGGAGCAAATTTCAACCATGGAATTAGCCCTTGAGGGTTGGAGCATCATCACCATGAGTGGCTAGACATCCTCTTGGGGCTAGAGTTAGCCCCAAGCATGCTTTCTATATCTTAATCTTGTGTATTATTGAGGGATTAGTGTTGTAATTAATGTTTTGACACTTTTATACATATAAATCTTGTTTATTCAATGATTTATGTGGTTTAATGCTTCCAATCAATCATTTCATTCTATCCGTATGTCTATGTATGCTAGAATAGATGTTCATGTGTTTACCTCTATTTCTTGTGTAATTGATGCATGTCTATGTGTATTAATGCTATGGATTTAGGGATTGTCGAAACATTGTGCTTAAAAGAATACTCTTGTGATTTTCTAGATGGTCCATGCTCACTTCTTGATGGATTATGTCTCTTCCTTAGCTTAGTTAGTTTAATTTCATGCCACTAGTTTAATTGTAGTGTAGTGATAGCATAATTGTTAGATGAGAGGACAATCCATGCTAGTTGTTTGGTGTTCCATACTTTTGAATGCAAGTAGCATATGTCTCTAACCTTGTGGTGTGTTTGGCTTGTGAACTTAATGAAAGGATTAATGACTTGCTAGATATGTTGTGCTTCTCACATGCTATTTAGACAATATATACTTAATTACTAGATATATTGTGCTTTTCACATGTTGATTAGACAATGTATGCTTAAATTGGTCACCCTTGCTAATTGAATCAACCAAGCACATATACACAAATATTGCAACACACTTTACCCTCATTAGTCACTAGTTGGAAGTGTAGAAAAGCATTGCTTGGTGGTGACCTCTAAACCCCAAGATCTCTTTCTCTCTCTTACTTACTCTTGTTACATTCAATCACTTAGTTTAATTTAGTTGCTCTCTAGTTTACTTAACCAACCAACCATTTGTTGATTACTCGACCTACTGACCCTAGTTGCCTTTTCACAATCAAGTACGACTCCAATCCCTTGGGACAACCCCTTCTCATTTATACTACATAGTATAGGTGTTAAGCGGTTTATAAATTTAACTATGATGCCCACTTGACACTAATTTCCAAACTCAAGGTGTTGTGCATTATTTTGTGCACACCTAGGGGAGAGCACCAGCATATAAGGAGTATTGGACTCTCAAGTCAAGCAATTTTTAAATTTTAAGTATCATGGTCCTCAAAAGATTAAAATCATCGCTAACAAGGATTTCACATCTCAATTATATAATTAAAGCTCAACTTTAAGTAAAGTGCAACAAAGATACCTCACCCCCAAACTTAAACCGCACATTGTCCTCAATGTGCAATGAGAACAATGGAAAAGATGGAAAGAGTATACTGTGGTGGCGAAAACATGAAACCCAACAATGATCCACTATGAAAAAGGGTCTCCCCCAAACTTGGAATCAACAACCTATTCGAATAACCACACTAGCAAACTCACATCAAATATCAAATGGGATAAGGATAATCAAACCATGCATTCTCAGGAATATAACACAAGATGCAAGAGAGATATGAGATCAAGCCCAAAAGAAAATATAAAAGTAACATGACTACACAAAAGGGCACAATGGTGAAATAATTTTTATTTTATTTTATTTTTAAGAAATACGATCGATCGAATAATGATCGATCGAAATTCGATCGATCTGACACCTGAAAACCTGCAGACACATTCGAACGATAGATAGAGAGATGAAATTTTCAGAGTTTCAAAATTTTTCTAAGTATCGAATTGAGATCGATCGAAGGGATAACTGGGATCGATCGAATGGTACTTGGATCGATCGGAGAGAAAATTCAAACGGTGGACAGAGAGGTGAAATATGCAGAAAAAGTTCGAACGATGGGACAGAGAAGTGATTTTCTACCTGCAGAGAGGTTCGATCGTGTAGACACTAAAATTTTAGTGGGCTTTGGTTTTGACAAATGGACCCATTAAATATGGGCCTAATGTTTAATTAAGTTATTTAATTGGCCAAGTTTAGTCCACTTAAATTATTTAATTAGTCCAGCCCAGATGGTTAAATAAACAGATAATTATTTCTAATAAAATATATTTGGAATAATTATTTTTAAGGATAATTGTCATAATATAATCGGCCCGGCCCAGATATAATTTTATCCTTATCAAGAGATGACACGTGTCATCATCCTATCAACCCAAGAAGCCTATAAATAGAGGCCTGGAGGATAAAGGAAGGGACACAAAATTGAGAGTCAAGAAATCTAGAGACTCAAAAATCTAGAAGGTCCATAAATTGAGGGAATCAGAAATTCAGAGGGCAAACCTGAAGGCGAAGAACACCAAGCACATCCAAAGTCGTGCCGTTCTTCACCAAATTAAACAAATCCTCTCTGAAGACGAAGAACAACAAGCACATCAAATTATGCTGTTCTTCATCCAAATTTCACGGTGATCAACAACAAGCACAGCTAAAGACGTGCCGTTCTTCATCCAAATTCTACGGTGATTCAAGATCAAGCTCGTGCAGCCCTTGGATCCAACCAAACAAAAAGGAGATTGAATTAGAGGACTTTAGTCTTTGGAATATTATTACAGAGGATTGTACTCTATCTTTATAAATTAATAAAATATTCTATTTGCTCCCGTATTTTGTCTTTATTTGCAGAGAACAAAATTTGTGTGTACAAATTTTTGGCACACCCAGTGGGATATCCTCTGCCTCTCATCTCTTTCTCCTGTATCAAATCCTTAACAAATTCATCGTCAGATTCTATGACTTCCAATAAGATTCAGACAAAGAGCAAGAATACCACCGAAGACATCGCGGTCATGACGGATAACATCAATACCATCACAAAAGGTGGTAAGAAGGTTGCAACTTCATCAAGTGGTACAAACACGTCGGCAAGTTTAATGATGTGGAGCATGGCTAAATCATCCATTCCTGCCAAAAGACAGCACGATGCAATGAGAGTTAATTCTGCCAAATCTATCAAAGTAACAACTCAAACTCATACCGCCTTCACCTTGCTGGGGGCAAGAAGGAAGGTTTTTACAACCTCAAAGGTAAATCCAGTCACAAGTTCAAGTTCCACCTCGCTGGGGGTAAGGAGGAAGGCTCCTACAACCTCAAAGATTGTTCCAGTCACAAGTTCAAGTTCAAGTTCAAGTTCAGGGCTGGTCCACCCAAGGCCAAAGATTTTTTCTGACTCCATCTCTATGCCAGTCATGATGACGAGTACTACCTCGTACGAAGAGCAATTGATGATTATGGCCAGTACAATTGAAAGATTACAACACTCTCTCAAGGAGCAAGATCTAAAAATTGCCTCGCTGACAGAAAAGTTAAAATTGCATGATGACAATACTGAGTCAAGCAAAGGCTGAATTTCTCATTCTAATTCCATGCCAGAGAACACTCTAATTGATGATCAAAATGACGTGTCCGCCAATTCAACAATTGATGCTGCCTCCGTCACCTCACTTTCTATCCAATAACTTTAAGACATGATAGTGAATTGTATAAGAGAATAATACAGTGGCATTCCTCAAAGTGATCGCATGTACTCAAAGCCTTACACAGAAAGAATTGACATCTTAAAAATGCCGGTTGGGTATCAACCTCCAAAGCTTCAACAATTTGACAGAAAAGGCAATCCCAAGCAATATGTCGCACACTTTGTAGAAACTTGCGACAATGTTGGTACAAATGGAGATCTTTTTGTCAAGTAATTCGTTCGTTCCCTCAAAGGGAATGCATTTGATTGGTACATAGACCTCAAAGCTAGAGGTATTGACAGTTGGGAGCAGATGGAACAAGAATTTCTCAACCGTTTCTATAGCACTCGTCGTACTGTAAGTATGTTGGAGCTTACAAACATAAAACAGATGAAGGGTGAACCCGTGGTTAACTACATCAATCGTTGGCGAGCTCTAAGTCTTGACTGCAAAGATCGTTTGTCTGAAATTTCTGCAGTTGAAGCGTGTATGCAAGGCATACGCTAGGAGCTTCTTTACATCCTACAAGGGATTAAGCCTCGCACATTTGAAGAGCTTGTTACTTGAGCCCACGACATGGAGCTTAGCATGGAAAATCATGGTGCTAGAGAAGATGTTCCTGATATATCCGACAACTTTCAAGAAGATGAGAGAAGTGAATCCGAAGAAGAAGACAATATACTTCCTAACTCAAATGACGAAATAGCTTCATCTTTCATTATAAGCATCATCTCGAAAGACTTCCATCAAGAAACGCACCATGCTACAACAATGACTTCAACCGAAAGTACAAAATCACAAGGGGCATTTAGTCAAAGAAACCAAGAAGAAAATCCTCAAAGTGACGACGAGATAATCCGTGTCCTCTAGTATAAGCTTGGATTGTTGTCTGATTCAAAGTTGAAGAAAATTATTAAAGTTAAAGTGCTCCCAGATACGAGCCTAAACTGTCGATGACACTCCTTGACACAAGTTTAAACTATCTACCTAAAAAAAAAATCAAGAACTCCTTGATACGAGTTTAAACTGTCTCCTAAACAAAAAATGACACTCCTTGACACGAGTTTAAACTATTTACCTGGAAAAAAAAATCAAGAACTCCTTGAAAAAAATAAAAATAATACTCCTTGACACGAGTTTAACCAGTCTACCTAAAGAAAAAAAAAATCAAGCACTCCTTGACACGAGCTTAAACTGTCTACCTGGAAAACAAATCAAGAACTCCTTGATACGAGTTTAAACTGTCTCTTAAATGAAAAAATGACACTCATTGACACGAGTTTAAACTATTTACCTGAAAAAAAAATCAAGAACTCCTTGATATGAGTTTAAACTATCTCCAAAAAAAAAAAATAATAATACTCCTTGACACGAGTTTAACCTATCTACCTGAAGAAAAAAAATCAAGCCCTCCTAGATACGAGCTTAAACTGTCTACCTAGAAAACAAATCAAGACTCTTTGATACGAGTATAAACTATTTGAAAAAAAAAAAAAAAAACTCTTTGACACGAGTATAACCTTTTACGGAAAAACTCATGTCTCTATTGAACTACGTGATGACTTGATCCCTCTTTTGAGGATACGTAGACAGCTTAGAATTTTATTTTAAGTTCAGTACGACGCTAGAAAAAAAAAATCTTCAGAATATGCAAAATGGCAAAGTGTGCTCGTCACAAGATATCAAAAGGACTAGTCGCAATTAATCAACTTGGCTTACTATCAAGATATTGTTGTCACTTGTTACAAATTTTCAACTTGGCTCGCTCTCAAGATGTTATCACTTATCATGCGATATCAAAAGTGCTTGTCGTACCTGTTAACTTGGCATGCCACCAAAGTGTAGTTGCAAAGAAAATTTTAGTCTGTTACCAAATTGTAGCTGCAAGGAAGAAATTTGGCCCACCACCAAAATGTAGCTGCAAAGAAGAATTTGGTCCATCGCCATAATTTTAGCTACAAAGGAAATTTTGATCCGGCAAAGTGTAGTTGCAAAAAAATAAATTGGTTCGTCGCTAGATTGTAAGTGCCTAGAAAAATTCTGCTTGCCGCCGAGGTAATGTTGGAAAAGATTTTCATTGAGCTATCGTTGAAGAAAAAAAAAATTTTGTTCATCATCAAGGTGTGGCTAGAAGAAATAAATAAAATTGACTTGCCGCCAAGGCATCGCTGAAGAATTTGGGTCATCGCTAAAATGTTGCTGCAACAAAGTTTTGACTCTTCGTCGAGGTGTCGCTGATTTTTTTTTTTTTTTGCTTGCCACCAAGGTGTTGCTAAAAGAGAAATTTGGTTTTCTATTGAGGTATTACGTCAAGGAAAATTCAGGGTGTCGCTAAGATATTACTGAAGTAAAAACAAATCACCACATGGAGGCATAGGCATGCAAGCTTTATCTGTCACATCAGATATGCACAAGCACACTTGTGTAACTCGGTAACTTTATGTCAAGTGGCTACTGGTGTCTGGTGCATAAGTAAACTTGTACACTGAGTCAGATCTTTTGGTGGATCTTCGGCTTGAAATCATCATCAAAACTGATAATGGCTAATGATGCTGGTGGTATGACCTCTCGGAGTATGGTCTCGCTCTATCAATGGCTGCTGGATGATCCATGGCTGATGAAGACGTTTTGGTGATGGCTAACAATGCTGGTGGTATGACCTCTTGGAGTTTGTTGGCTAACAATGCTGGTGGTATGACCTCTTGGAGTTTGTTCTTACTCTTTGAATGGTAGATGTCTGATCTGTGGCTAATGAAGACTACATCTGTCGTTACTCTTTGGATTAATTCATGGCTACTGACGACACTGCTTGTGCTGGTGGCATGACCTCTCGGAATCTGGACTCGCTCTATCAATGGCTGCTGGATGATCCATGGCCGATGAAGATGCTTTGGCGGCAGGTGTTGACAACGTTGTCTGAGCTAGTGGTAAAACCTCTCTCCATCTATATCTGTCGTTACTCTCTAGGCTGATTCGTGGCTGCTGATGACACTGCCTGTGCTAGTCGTATGACCTCTTGGAGTCTATTTTTGCTCTATCAATGGCCACTGGATGATCTATGGCTGATGAAGACACTCTGGCAATGGGTGTTGATAATGTTGTCTAAGTTGTTGGTAAAGCCTCCCTACGTCTACATATCTCGTTGCTCTCCGAGTCGATTCATGGCTGCTGATGACACTGTCTGTGCTGGGGGCATGACCTCTCAGAGTCTGTTCTCGCTCCAAAACGATAATAATATAGGGCTTGAAACTTTTGAAAAACACCATGGTTGACTAGCACGACTAAAAAATGGTTACCACTTGAAAAAAAAAAAAAAAAAGTTGGAAAAAAAAAAGAGTGGAAAAAAAGAAAAAAAAAAAAAAAAAGGAAAGAAAGAAAATTCGTGCAAAAAAAAAAAAAAAAAAAAAAGGAAAGAAAAAAAATGCGTGAAAAAAAGAAAGAGAGAAAAAAAAAAGGGAAAGAAAGAAATAGGAAAGAAAAAAAGAAGGAAAGAAAAAATGCGTGAAAAAAAAGAGAAAAAAAAAAGTGTGAAAAAAAAAGAGCATGGAAAAAAAAAAGAGAGAAAAAAAAGGGAAAGAGAAAAAAAAAAAAAAAGAGAGAGAAAAAAAGTGCGTGAAAAAAATGCATGGAAAAAAAGAAAAGAAAAAAAAAAAAGGAGAAAAAAAAAAAATCATACCGATTATTTGTTTAAGCAGAGGCCGCAATCCAACACAGTCTTCAGAGGTTATAATCTGACAAGTCTTCAGAGAATATTGGAATTGATGTCAAACCCTATAATATTGGGGGTATATATAGGTAGGGGTAGCAAATTAAGACACGATACGATAACACGACACGAACACGACACGAGTTAAAAGGGTTTGGGTTTGGCATAAATGGGTTTGGGTCATAAAAGGGTCGATACGATTAACTTATTTACTTAACCGTGTCGGGTTAGTATTGAGGGGTTTAACCCATATAACACGTTTATGATCCATTTAACTCAACATGTTATAATCGTGAATATGACCTATATGATATGTTACTTGTTTAAATCAAATTATTATGGATAGTTAAGTCATTTCAATATAAACCTTGTTTATGCCTTGAGATTTTTCTTTTTATTTTGAATATTTGGGTTAATTATGACAATTTTTTTCTATTATTTAGTATTTAATTAGATATTAAATGTCTCGTATTGATAAACAGGTCATTAAATGGGTTAACACGTTTACTTGTTTAATAAATAGGTTGGGTTAGTGTTGAGGATTTTGATACGATTATTAAATGGGTTAGGTTTGGGTTTACCTATTTAGTATAATACCTTTACATTGACATGACATAAACACGACCCACGAACATGAATTGCCAACCCTATATATAGGTAATAAAATACCTCATATTTGTATTAAAATTTGTATAATTCAGTTCAAATGGGAAAGTAAAATTCCAATTAAAAGTTGGATAGAAAAGCAAAATAGTAAATCTTATAATCCAAAGTTGGAAAGGAAAGAAAAAAAAAAAAGAAGAAGGAAAGTTGGATACTTCAAGTCCCATTTGAAAAAGGAGACAAGTCCTGTCAAACTTGGGACTCGAAGTGAGGGCAATTTGTAGACACTAAATTTTAGTGGGCTTTGGTTTTGACAAATGGACCAATTAAATATGGACCTAATGTTTAATTAAGTTGTTTAATTAGCCGAGCTTGGTCTACTTAAATTATTTAATTTGCCCAGCCCAGATGGTTAAATAAACAGATAATTATTTCTAATAAAATATATTGGAATAATTATTTTTAAGGATAATTATCATGATATAACTGGCCCGGCCTAGTTATAATTTTATCCTTATCAGGAGATGACACGTGTCATCATCCTATCAACCCAAGAAGCTTATAAATAGAGGCCTGGAGGATGAAGGAAGGGACACAAAATTGAGAGTTTAGAAATCCAGAGACTCAAAAATTCAGAAGGTCCAAAAATTGAGGGAATCAGAAATCCAGAGGACAAACCTGAAGGTGAAAGAACACCAAGCACATCTAAAGTCATGCCGTTCTTCACCGAATTAAACAAATCCTTTCTGAAGACGACGAACAACAAGCACATCAAATCGTGTCGTTCTTTATCCAAATTCTATGGTGATCAACAACAAGCACAGCCAAAGACGTGCCGTTCTTTATCCAAATTCTACGGTAATTCAAGATCAAGCTCGTGCAGCCCTTGGATCCAACCAACCAAAAAGGAGATCGAATCAGAGGACCTTATTCTTTGGAATATTATTACAGAGGATTGTACTCCATCTTTATAAATAAATAAAATATTCTATTTGCTCCCATATTTTGTCTTTATTTGTAGAGAACAAAATTTGTGTGTACAGATTGATCGTGAGAGCTTTGCGATCGATTGAATAGGTAGGAAAACCTTCATTTTGAGATGAAAACACAACCAATCCAAGCAAGTTTTAATGATGAAAACAACAAGAATGAATGAGACTCGAGGAAGAACAGTTTAATATTCCTAGTTGACGTGATTGCATCACTAAATCTCTTCATAGATAGGATCTAGCAAGAGTGTAGAATTGGTTAAAACTTTGCTTTATAAAACTTTCTCAAAACAACTAAATAAGCATTCAAAGAATAGATAACACAAGGTTTACAAGGAAACCCTTTTAACTGGGGAAAACCTTAGTTCTTGGCCTTAGCCAATAAGCAATCCACTACTAGCTGTATGTATCTTGTTACACACTTAGCTGTCTCATTCCCTGCACACACCCAGGCACAAGAATAGACATTAGTTTTCACAACCAATACACACACTAGTACACCACAATGCATACAAGCACTCCCCTTGTCCTAAGCGACCATGCTTGGACCAAATGAGCTCTCATAGCTCACCACACACACCATTACAGATGTAGATTAAGTCAAGAAGGTCTTTACAACAATAAGAATAAGCTGGGCAACTTTGAAATCCAATATACTGCCTCAGAACCACAATCTGCAACACTTAGGGTTTAAGAGGTAAAATTGGAAATTCCTCTCGAGATCAATTCACCAGCACCTTACGTAGTCTTCTTTCACTGTTGTACTCATGTTCATAGCTTTGCATAATCAAACATAGTATGAGTATATCAAAAATTTCAGAGCACAAAACAGCTTCAGCACAAAATAGCATTGGCACAAAACAGCTTTAGCACAAAATAGCTTCAGCACAGAATAGCTTTAGCACAAAATAGCTTCGGCGCATAATAGATTCAGCACAAAATAGCATTGGCAAAGAATAGATTCAGCACAAAATAGCTTCCGCCTTAGGGTTTGAATACTCAAAATCAAAGCATACCATATTTATGTCTCAAGCTTAACTTTAACAATCTTAATTCATCAAAATATACTTGGTAGTAGCATAAATCATCATGAAATAGCTAAGTATGATCAAACAGCACTTGAATCCAAGATTAATTCAGAAAAACAAGCTTAACTAGTGACCACACTGTCCAAATTCATTTTCAGCATATTCTCAACACAAACACAGTTTGAGAAAGTGTAAAAAGATGAATTATACAAATGTCAACCTTCAGAATAGACCATAATAGCTTGAAATACAAAATCACTACCTAATCTAGCTCTTGCAGCGGTAAATCTGACAACAACCTTATCTCAACAATTGGTATACACCCTAGAGTTGATTTAATGAGTTTTTCTTGCATGGATCATCATCAAACAACAGAGAAAAACTTGCTTGACATAATATACTCGAGGGTTCTCAACAACAGCTCAATGTGCAATGTATATTCAAAAGGCTTGAACCTTAAAAATCATTATAACATCACATTTATAGTGACACTGAATTACACACGGCCTCACACACCAAGGATATACACCTGTCACCTCTAGCCAATGATTGAGAGAGCATATTTTAGATATTTTCAGAGCAATGCACCAATGTAGGCCTGCCACCTCAACTAATTTGTCACTATTCTCACCAGCTACAGCAGGTTACAAGTTTGAGTACTGAATTCCAATTCTATCCAAACTTAGCCTCTAAGTAATGTAATATTCTTGCATATACCAACTCTCTAGGACCACTGAGATGTGTCACATTCTTGAGCATAGCCGGAAAAGACCTTACTACCCTCAAAACAGATTTAACTATACTCAGCACTGTGACAGACCTAAGGCTGTATTCTTCAAAATGCAGGTCTAATCAAAACACTCCAGTGCAATGCAGGTACTTGAGCATACGTATATATATGAAATATAATTGAGAAATTACCATAGTACCCCTGTGAGCACCTGTAGCTAAAACTGAATTGCTAAACCTTCACTGTCATAGTGATTTTGATCAAAACAGGCTGAACCATTGCTATGCACTATTACAGACCCGTGAGTACAATGTAATACAAGGTAGTAAATGACAATACAATCCTTGGACCTTATTTTAACACACAATGTAGATAGAAATCATACTTGAAGCCACTGAAACCACAGTTTTTGACATTAAAATGCAAGCATTCCTTAAGATAACTTAGGACCAACAATCTCCCCCTTTTGCCTTTAATTTCAAAAACCAATTAACCTTGAAATAAGATATTGAGAATGAGAACTTTCAAAGACTCAATAAATTAGAACAACCTAAATATAAAAAGAATAGCTTCAAGCTATCCTTATTTCAGTTAATTTCTCCCCCTTTTTTACATTGAAGGTCAAAAGGTGAGTAGGACCAACAATATAAGTTCAGAAGGGAGGAGGAACAACCCTGAGAAGATCTCGAAGGGTTGAAAATCTCTGAGGAAGAAGAGGTTTGGTCATTATATCTGCAAGTTAATCTTTAGTTGGCAAGTAAATAATATCAATAAGGCCTTTTTGGAAAGTGATACCTGATATCAATGTGTTTGCTTTTCTAGTGTAGTGTGGGATTTTTGCTGATAGCAATAGCACTTTGGTTGTCATAGAAAAGCTTTGGAGGTCCTAAAAATTGAAGGCCAAGGTCTGAGAGTGTATTTTTCACCCAAAGTAGTTGAGTGCCAGCTTGTGAGGCAGCTATATACTTAGCTTCAGTGGTTGAGAGAGAGACAGTGTATTGCTTTTTACTTAGCCAAGAAACTACATTGGAACCAAGAACATAATGGCAACCAGAGGTACTTTTTCTATTAGGTAAAAATCCACCCCAATCAGTATCTAAGAAGGCTGCAATAAACATTTAGGGTGAGAAAGTGTAGTATAGACCATATGAAATGGTGCCCTTGACATATTTGAGAATTTTTTTTTGCAGCTTGAAGTTGAGAAACCTTTGGATTACTTTAAAATCTGGCCACTAAACCCACTGAATACATTATATCAGGCCTTGAAGCAGTAAGATACAGCAAACTACCAATGATGGACCTGTAAAGTGTTGAAGGAATAACTTCAGTGGTGCATTCCGATAAGAGTTTGGTATTAGGACATAGTGGTGTTGAGACAGTCTTACAATCATCCATTTCTGAACTTTTTAAGTAGCTCAGAGGCATACGTTTTGCTGAGAGATGAAGATTCCAGTGGATGTTTGAGTAATTTATAGGCTTAAAAAAGTATCTGAGAGTCCCCAAGAGTGACATTTCAAATCTTGTCTTCATGAGATTAGCAAGTTCTGAAGCTAATGAGATGTCTGAGCCACAAAACATGATATCGTCAACATAAATTTGTAGAATTAGAAACTGTTCTTGATGAGTTTTTACATAAATAGTATTATTAACCTTGCCTCTGTGAAATCCTTGTTCAAGTAAGAACTGATGTAGCTTCTCATACCAGGCTCTAGGAGCTTATTTGAGACCATACAAAGCCTTACTTACTTTGTAAACATGAGAGGGAAACTCTGAATCTTCAAAGCCTTTCGGTTATTCCAAGTAGACTTCTTCATTTAGATCTCTATTAAGAAAAGTAGACTTGACATCCATTTGGTATACTTTGACTTGTTTGTGACAGGCAAAAGATAAAAGCATTATAATGGATTCCATTCTTGCAACTGGATTAAAAGTTTTATCATAATCAATACCAGCCTGCTGAGAGTAACCTTTACACACCAGTCTTGCCTTGTTTCTGATAATTGATCCCTTTTCATCCATCTTGTTTTTGTAAATCCACTTTGAACCTATCACATTCTTGTCTTCAGGTCTGGGAACAAGTGTCTAGGTATCATTCTTGTGAATTTGATCAAGTTCCTCTTGCATGGCAGCTAACCAGTCTTTACTTTTCTGAGCTTCAAAATAGGACTTTGGTTCAATGGATAACAGCATAGCAAAGTGACTGTATTCTTCACCATCTTCAGCTTCTAAATCATTTAGCTTCTTTTTGTTTCTTGTTTAAACTCCAACTTGAGGTGAACCAATGATGTTTTCAGCTTGAACCTGCTTCTGCAACACTAAAGAACTGAGGAACTGGTTTCATTTGAACTAAAAGAATTGTCATAGCCTTCAAGAGGTGTGGACTTAGGATTCTCATCAAACTTCACATGAATTGACTCAACCACCTTTGAAGACCTTAGATTGTAACACCTGTAAGCTTTGCTTTTTGTAGAGTATCCTAAGAATATGCATTCATCTGCCTTTGAATCAAACTTGCCCGAACTATCAATGTGATTCAATATATAGCATTTGCTGCCAAATATTTTGAAGTAATGAATAGTTATAGGTCTTCTATACTATAATTCGTAAGGTGTTTTGGTTGAATTAGGTTTGAGAAGAACCCTATTTATGATGTGCACAGCAGTACTCATAGCTTCAGCCCAAAAACCCTTTGCTAGACCTTTTTCTAAAAGCATTGTTCTACCCATTTCTTGAACTGTCCTGTTCTTCCTTTCTACAACCCCATTCTGTTGAGGAGTAGCTATAGTTGAGAATTCCTTCTTAATACCCTTGTCATCACAATAATGCTTAAACTCTTTCATGATGAATTTAGAGCCAAAGTCAGACCTAAGTCTCTTCACAGTGCAGCTTCTTTCACTTTCAACAAGATTGACAAACTTAATGAAATGTGTAATGGCCTTAGATTTTTCTTTCAAAAAGTAAACCCACACCATTATACTAAAATCATCAATAAGAAACATGAAGTACTTACTCCCACTAATGCTAGTAGTTCTAGTAGGACCACAGAGATCCATGTGTATCAGGTCAAGTGCTCTTGAGGTGTTGATTTCTTTTGAAGGAAATGAAACTTTGGTTTGTTTTCCTTGTTGACAGGCCTTGCAAAGATGTTCATCTTTAAACTTGAGTTCAGGAAGTCCTTTGACAGCTTTTAGCTTCAAAATCTTGGATAAATTTTTTGAATGAAGATGTCCTAGTCTCTTCTGCCATAGATTAGCTTCATCACAGGTTGTCAAGTTGCATTGAGTAGCTTAGAATTCTTCAATGATAGTATAAACATTTCCTGATGATGTACATGCTGAGAAGAGAACCTGTTTTGATTTAAGATCAACCACATTGCACTTTTCTTTGTCGAAACACATAGTCCTCCTGCTATCACATAACTGACTTACACTAAGAAGGTTGTGTTTGAGTCCTTCAATAAGTAAGACTTCTTGAATCTCAAGCAATTCTTTAGACTTGCTCATAGTACTTATACCAGCAATTTTTGCTTTTTGATTGTCTCCAAAGATCACATCTCCACCATCAAATTTTTTCAGAGTGATAAATTTGGAGGCATCACCTGTTATATGTCTTGAGCAGCTATTGTCAATATACCATCTGTCCACTTTGTTACAAGCCTTGAAGGCTGTATACATAAGTAAATTCACTGAGTTTAACTTCTTGGGAATCTACATCATCATGGATTTCACAATAGAATCTTTGTTCTTGACCTTCTGAAATTGAGATATATCAGACTTCTTCATATACATTTTGGTTACTTTGAAGTTCCTTATAGATATTGTAACAAAATCATTTCTGTTTAGTCTTGAGGAGTTGAAATTGTTGTCAAGCAAATCAAATTTTGATCTCAAGGGTTTTATAACAGGATACCTTGCATACACTTCACCAGTTGTGGCTTTGACAAATACAGAGTGAGTTTGATTGACCTTTGTGGCTGAATCACACACATAACCAATTTTAGTCTTCCCAATTTGCTTTGTGGATTGCTTCCAGATCTCAGCCATCTCTAGGGATCTTTTTTAAAAAATGAGAGACAGTTCTTCTTTACACTTCTTGGTAGACCACCGAGTGTTGACTTAAGATTTCAATAGGCTTTGAAAAATAAGAGAAACTGAACACAGCATTGACAGTTTAAGTTTAAAGTGTTTAGTGAGAACTTGTTTGGGCTTTAACAATTCTGAATTGAGCCTTTTTATTTGAGACTTCTGTTGATTACACTTCATAGCAAGCCTTTCACATTCTTTAAGAAGTTCCTCAATCTCAGTGTCACTATCTTCTTCAACTTGAACTGGAATTTGTGGTGCTTCAAGAATAGCCATACAGAGACATTCATCTTCTTGTGTTTCCTCAGGTTTATCTTCTTCAGGAGCTGCATCCTGGTCTGAGATAAGTGTTTTTCTACCAAACCTTCCTTTATAGTTTCCTCCCTTATTCTTCTTTTGAATTTGCCCCTTTGAGTTAGGACAATTAGATACAACATGACCAAGTTTACCACAACCATAACAAGTTAACTTTTGTATCTGATTCTTCTTTTTAAACCTGAACTTTCTGAATTTCTTAGCAAGGTAGGCTACCTCATCTTCTTAAGATCATCTTCAGACTTTGTTTCAGTTTCTTTAACAACTTCCTTTGCTTTAAGAACAACTTCTCTTCTATGAACAGTTGGAACACTAATTCTCATTTCATAGGCAGTGAGAGTGGTTTGAAGCTCATCAATCTTCACCTGAGAAAGATCTTTGTCTTCGAAAATTGTCACTTTAGGATTGAATCTAGAAGTGAGTGACCTTAGTGTCTTCTTACAAACATCAACATCCTTAATATCTTCACCAAAAGCTCTCATATTGTTGACAAGGTCATTAATCCTGAACATGTACTCAGCAATAGTTTTTCTTTCTTCCATCTTACAGACCTCATACTGAACTTTGAATAGCTGTATCTTGTTCTCCTTAATAACCTTATTTCCTTCATGAGCTGCCTAAAGAGAATCCCACATTTCCTTGGCTATTTTACAATTTTTAACCCTGGTAAATTCTTGTTGCCTCAAGGCATAAAAGATAACATATTTGGCCTTACCATCATTAGCCACAGCCAATTTATCTTCAGCAGAGGGGTTATCAGGATTAAGAATCACAACACCATGTATGGCAGCATACCAAACATCATAGGACTGAGACATTAAGAAGGTTCCATTCTAGTTTTCTAATAATCATAGTTTGAACCTTCAAACCCTGGAGCTTTATTGGTAACTTGACCTCATCCATTGCTGGAATCAACTGCAGGCTTATTAGAACCTCACAATGCAAATAACAACTCTGATACCAATTTTTGAACCAAGAGGGGGGGGTGAATTGGTTTTTGCTTTATAAAACTTTCTCAAACAACTAAACAAGTATTCAAAGAATAGATAACAAAAGGTTTACATGAAAACCCTCTTAACTAGGGAAAACCTTGGTTTTTGGCCTTAGCCAATAAACAATCCACAACTAGATGTATGTATCTTGTTACACACTCAGCTGTCTCATTCTCTGCATACACCCAGGTACAAGAATAGACATTAGTTTTCACAACCAATACACAGACTACTACATCACAGTGCATACAAGCACTCCCCCTATCCTAAGCAACTATGCTTGGACCAAATGAGCTCTCATAGCTCACCACACACACCATTACAGATGTAGATTAATTTAAGAAGGTCTTTACAACAATAAGAATAAGCTAGACAACTTTGAAATCCAATATACTGCCTCAGAAACACAATCTGCAACACTTATGGTTTGAGGGGTAAAATTAGAAATTCCTCTCGAGATCAATTCACCAGCACCTTAGCCAGTCTTTTTTCATTGTTGTACTCATGTTCATAACTTTGCATAATCAAACACAACATGTGTATATCACAAATTTCAAAGTACAAAACAGCTTCAGCATAAAATAGCTTCAGCACAGAATAGCTTTGGTGTGTGCCGTGCCAATGCACCAAATTGCATGCAAAAGTGTGTAGTGTGGCTATGTTTAAATTTATAAAATGCCACTACTACCTCTAACTAGTAATATAGCTAGCGTGAGTAGGGATCATCCTAAGGGAAAAAGAGCAACATTGATATGGAAATAATGTTGGATTAGTAGGTCGAGTGATCAAAAGATGGTTTGATTGATTAATTAAACTACAATTTAAACTTAATGAAAATAATGTAAAGCAACAAAAGTAAGTAAGGTGTAGAGAATAAGAGAGAGGAGTCTTGGGTCATAGAGTTCACTACTAAGCACCACCTGGTGTGGTGTCGTTGCGTGTGTGCACCAAAATTGCAATAAAAAGTGTGGCCAAATTTAAATTTATAAAGTGCCACTACTACCTCTAACTACTAATATAGCTAGGGTGAGCAGGGATTGTCCCAAGGGATTAGGTGCGTGTTTGAAATGGAAACAAGGTCGGATTAGTAGGTCGAGTGATCAAAAGATGGTTTGATTGGTTAATTAAACTACAATGTAAATAAATTCAATACAAGGCAACTAAAATAAAATAAAGGGTAGTCCACAAGAAAGAGAGATCTTGGGATGTAGAGGTCACCACTAAATATCACCATTCTAGATACTCAATGTGTAATGAATTAGGGGAAATATGTGTTGCAATACAAAGAGGTGTGACTGATTGAATCAACAAGCATGGATGACTAATTAAGTATATATTGTCTAAACAACCAGGTGAATAGCACAATATATCAAACTAAGCCATTATTCCTTCCTTTAAGCTCACAATCAACACACTAACAAGTTAGAGAATTATATTACTTGCATTTATAAGTATGGAACATCAAACAACAAGCATGAATTGTCCTCACATCTAAGAAAGTAAAGCAACTACACTACATCTAAGCTAAGGACATGAAAATTAAACTAATTAAGCTAAGGTAGAGGCATAATCCATCAAGAAATGAGTATGAACCATCAAAAAATCACAAGAGTATTCTATTTAAGGACTATGCCATGACAATCTCTAGATTCATAGCATCAATAGACATAGACATGCATCAATATCACAAAACCAAAAGATAAACACATGAACATCTATTCTAACATACATAGACATATGGATAGAATAAAATGATCAATTGGAAGTATTAATCAACACAAATCATGGTAAAAATAAGATTCGTATATAAATCAAATGTTAAGACAAGATTACAACACAAATCCCCTCAAAAAACAAAACATCAAGGTCTAGAAGGCATGCTTTGGGCTAAATCTAGCCCTAAGAAGAGTTTAGCCACTCATTGATGTAGTCATCCAACCCTCAAGGGCCATCTCCATGGTAGGAATGATCTTTTTCTTGATGGAAACCCTAGAAGAATGGAAGAACTCCCAAATAGTGTATGTCTCTCTAATCTCTAGCCTTCTCTCCAAGATAGTATATGATGATACGATATGAGATATATTGAGATTTGATGTAAAAATGGCTCAAAATCCTTATATAGGTAGCTTAAATGTCACACCCAACGGTCAGGTCTCGTGCATAAGGGTCCTCTCAATGATTGCACCACGAGCCATCTTTTAATGAGCTGGACTTTGTTTTATTTCGGACTTGAAGAGGTTTGATCGATCGAATTCAGATGAGATCGATCAAACTCTGGCCAGATCAATCTAAGTAAGGCCAGATCGATCAATCCTTGGCGGCACCTTTTTGGAATAAGACAAATTTGAAATATTTTAGGAAAAAGACAAAAAGTGGTAGGTGGGGATAAGATCAAGGAAGTTCGATTAATTTGAAGAAAGTTGGATTGATCGAAGATGAAAATTCTTAAGG